GGAGCAAAGGTGTGTGGGTGCCTGTGTGTGACAGCCGTGGGTGTGCAGGAAGGGGGTTCTGGTGCCATTGGAGCTGCCAGGGAGCCAAAAGGGGCACAGTTGTCTGAAAAAGGTGCAAGCTCTGTTGGCCTCTGTTGACACCTGCACCAAAGGAGATGCAGATTTTCCCCCTCTTGGTTGCAGGCTTCACAAAGCTCCCAGGAAAGGAAGTTTTAGAATCCAACTCCCCTTTATGCTAAAGGTTTCCTTGCTCTCTCAGCAGGATGTGGAGTGCCACCATGTCCCCGAGGTCCCCCTTTCTGCTGTTGGGAGAGCATGAGGTGGATGGAGAGGATCCCCAGGCATCTGCAGGCAAAAGGGACTGGCACAACTGTGATTTTTCTCCAGCTCTCTTAAGGTGGACTTTCAGGGTAGCATGGGTAATGTGCCAGCTCTCCTGCTGGAGTTTTTGTCTTCTGCTATATTTGAACATCAAGAGTAAAACTAAAGTCAGGTGTGTTCTGGAGTATGTTACACTCATGCAAAGCTCCTTCCCTCTGTTTGTTTTCTGTTCTGGAAAGCACAGTGGGGTTCCTGGGCACTTCCTATTAAATGATTCCATGAAAATAATTTTGTACTGAAAGGAGAAAGGAGCGGTCTGTTTGAGATCAGATGTCACTGATAAAAGCTGTATGTTTTTTCACTCAGTAAGCTTTTAAAATATCTCATAGTGGGTAGGAATGCCTGGCTTCTAAAACTCACCAACTGAGTCTTAGAAGTTTCTCTGAAGAGCTGTTTTCAGGCAGCAAACTTGGCCCCGCAGGAGGGACTCTGTGCCTGCTCTCCCGTGGCTCCAAGGGATCTCTGGCCCTTCACGCCGGCACCGAGATTTTCTCGGGAAGGGCCTCAGATCCCCGGACCAGTCTGGGACACAGGCAAGATCCCCCTGCAGTTTAGGACCAACTTGGCCCCCTGGAGGGACAGTGCTGTGGGTGCCCCCCGGGTTGGGGCACCCTGAGGACTCCAGCGCGCACCGAAAGGATTCTTCGGGGAGATCCTCGGGGTGCCCGGCCCTGGGGAGCTCAAAGCAAGGTCCCTGCCATGGATTCAGGCATTGCTGAGAGTATCCCAGGGGTCCCTGTCCCTGCTAGACATGGAGCTCTCTAATGGGCTGCAATTGGGTGATAAAAGTGGTGCTCCAACTGCAAAGGAAGTGTGGGATTGGGATTAAGAAATGAGCAGTGATGGTGCAATTGGCTGTTTTCTCTGGAATGTGACTGTGAGAGCTGCAGGAGTGCCAGGTGTGTGTTCCAGTCCCCAACATTTGGTTTGCACGTGTCGTGGTCAGACACAGGTACAACTGCCTCAGTCCTTAACCCAAGAGAGGGAGAATGAAGGACTGGCAGTGTTAAGGTGATTGGTGTGTCAGGGGTTAAACTGGGAAAACATTGGGGAATTCTTCAGTTGGTCTCTTTGCCGAACTCACCCAAACCTATGCTAGGAAGAGATTGAGTGGAAAAGTTGAGGCAGAAATGAAATGGAAAACTGGGGATGTTGAAACTGTAATTGCTGGAACTAAATGTGTCCAAGCAGCAGCTCTTGTTGTGCAGGGAATAACTCCTGTCAGCAGCAAGGCCCCGACTGAAGTGGCAGCTGCAGTTGTTCCTGTGGTGTGGGCCAGTGGAACTGCAGGAGAGTGGAAGAGGGCAGAACCTGTAGGTATTACCCCTGCTGTGGGATCTATATGGGTAAGGCAAAGCCAGTATCCTTTAAAATCAGAATTCCAGCTTGGATTGGTTGCAGTAACAGCTAAATTTGCTCATGCTGGTTTGCTTGTAGGACGTGAATGCAAGAACCTGCCAAGAAAAGAATGGCCAAGATGATTGATGAGTGCAGGACCTGAGAGAAGCACCTTGAATGACGACCTCGAGGAGTTTCCAGTATTGGATTGAAAAGATGGTCTTGGCTGCATGTCCTTGAGCAAGGAAAGCCAAGAAACCTTTCCTTTGGAAGCAGAAAATCTGGAAATCGGGAAAGAAGAAAAGAAGCCCCCTGACTCCTCCCTGAGCCCCGGACAGCCAATGAAGTGCCTTGCTGGGAATGGTAGGACTGGGTGGACTCTGGATTGCTCCCTCTGCATGTGTGGTAAGACTTATGCCAACTTTTCCAACAGCCTGAAAGCATTTGCTGCCTTGGCTAGATGGTGCAAGGGCAGCCTTTAAGCAGCTAAAGCATTCCCTGAGGAGAGCTCTGGGTCTGCCAGTTGTGTCAGAACTGTTGGAATCATCTTTGGTGGGGAGGGCAAACAAAGGCCAAGGTGTGCAGTGCCCCCCCTGACAAGGGACTTTGAGTTAATGGCATCCCTGCAAGTGAACTTTGTGGGCTGTTCCCCCTGCAGGGCAGGTGACAGTCCCAGCTACAGTGATGGGAAAAATGGTTAAAAGGGAGCCCCAAAAGCTGAAATCCTCCTGGAGGCTCTTGGCAAACAGTTTCCTGAGTTCCCCCTGAAAGAACGGTAGTGATAGCTTTGGAGTGCTGGTAGATCCTTTGAATAGTTAGCCTTGTTGCCCCAGTAGGCCTTGTCCAACTCCCCATTTTCCAGGGGATATACATATTAAAGTTTCAAATGCTCTTCCTAATCCTTTGTTGGCTTGAGGCTCTCCCCTCAGGAACTGCAGGAACTCCTGGTGCCGCCTGGGCCGATGGATTGGACGCCCCAGCCCCTCCGTTCCTGCCCAGCCCCTGGGGCCGTGTCCAGTGGTGGCACTGCCAGCCCTGCAGGGGAAGTGGGAAGGGCCTTTGCAGGTCTGGTGGGTCACATTGATAGCAGGTAAAATTGCAGTAAAAGGACCTGGGGTATGTTATTCTTGAGTTGAGAAAGCTCCTTTTGCTTGGTGAGCAGAACCAAGTGGATCCTTCGGAGTTCCCATCTGTGTTTGTGTCTCAGCCTGTGTTAGGATTCAGGGCTGTCAGTTGTTGTCACTGAGGAGTCAAACTGTGCTTGAAATAAGGAGACCCTGGCCTGATGGCCCAGTGTCAAGGCAAAAGGGGGAATGCTATCTGAGTGTTGAGATGTAACAAGGGCTAATCCTTTTTGCAGTGGGATGGAGCCTGGAAACTGCACAGAGCAGAGCCCAGGGATTGAAAGGGACCAAGCAAGGGAGGGGAAGAAAGAAGGAAGAAGGGAAGTGAGGCAGCAGCCAAGCAGCACCAAGTTCCTGTGTAAGCAGGTGAGTTGTGTTGAGGTTCCTCAGGCAGGCACTGAGGACTTGGAGGGCTCCAGACAGAGCAGACCTGGGAAGGCCCTCGGTGAAGCTCCTTGGAAACCTTCTAAGGGTAGGTGTGTATGGTGATAAGTGTTGGGATTGTCCTGAATGTGGAACAGGAATGCAGGGAAGGAAAATGAACCCTGCTGTAATGCTGACCCCTCCCATCAGCTGCAGTGGAGACACCTCCGTGTGCCCTTTGGGAGCGGATTGCCAGGACCCCCGTGGGGCTGGGATCATGGCAGGGTGTTGTAAGCAAGGAATGCCTGGCTTGGAAAATTCACCAGCTGAGCCTTAGAGGCTTCTTTGAAGAGCTGATTTCAGGCAGCAGAATTGGCCCCCAGGAGGGACTCTGTGCCTGCTCTCCCGTGGCTCCAAGGGATCTCTGGGCCTTCATGCCGGCACCGAGATTTTCTCGGGAAGGGCCTCAGATCCCCGGACCAGTCTGGGACACAGGCAAGATCCCCCTGCAGTTTAGGACCAACTTGGGCCCCCCAGAGGGACAGTGCTGTTGGTGCCCCCCAGGTTGGGGCACCCCGAGGACTCCAGCGCGCACCGAAAGGATTATTCGGGGAGATCCTCGGGGTGCCCGGCCCTGGGGAGCTCAAAGCAAGGTCCCTGCACTGGATTCAGGCATTGCTGAGAGTATCCCAGGGGTCCCTGTCCCTGCTAGACATGGAGCTCTCTAATGGGCTGGAATTGGGTGATAAAAGTGGTGCTCCAAGTGCCAAAGAAGTGTGGGATTGGGATGAAGAAATGAGCAGGGAGGGTCCAATTGGCTGGTTTCTCTTGACTGTGTTGCTGAGAGCTGCAGGAGTGCCAGGTGTGTGTTCCAGTCCCCAGCATTTGGTTTGCACGTGTCCTGGTCAGACACAGGTCCAACTTCCTCAGTCCTTAACACAAGAGAGGGAGAATGAAGGACTGGCACTGTTCAGGTGATTGGTGTGTCAGGGGTTAACCTGGGAAAACATTGGGGAATTCCTCAGTTTCTCTATTTGCCAAACTTGCCCAAACCTCTGCTAGGGAGAGATTGACTGGAAAAATTGAGGCAGAAATGCCATTGAGAACTGGGGCTATTGAAACTGTAATTGCTGAAACTAAATGTGTCCAAGCAGCAGCTCTTGTTGTGCAGGGAATAACTCCTGTCAGCAGCAAGGCCCCGACTGAAGTGGCAGCTGCAGTTGTTCCTGTGGTGTGGGCCTGTGGAACTGCAGGAGAGTGGAAGAGGGCAGAACCTGTAGGTATTACCCCTGATGTGGGATCTCTCCTGGTAAGGCCAAGCCAGTATCCTTTAAAATCAGAATGGCAGCTTGGATTGGTTGCAGGAACAGCTGAATTTGCTCCTCCTGGTTTGCTTGTAGAAGGTGAATGCCCGAACCTGCCAAGAAAAGCAATGGCCAAGGGGATTGATTAGTGCAGGACCTGAGAGAACCCCCTGAAATGACAACCTGGAGCAGTTTCCAGGATTAGATTGCAAAGATGGCCTTGGCTGCATGTCCTTGAGCAAGGAAAGCCAAGAAACCTTTGCTTTTGCAGGAGAAACTGGGGCAAGCGGGCGGGAAGAAGAGAAGCCCCGTGACTCCTCCCTGAGCCCCAGGCAGCCCCTGAACTGCCTCCCTGGGAATGGTGGGACGGGCTGGACTCTGGATTGCTCCCTCTGCATGTGTGGTAAGACTGTTAGGGCAACTTTTCCAAGAGCCTGTAAGAATTTTCTGCCTTGGCTAGATGGTGCAAGGGCAGCCTTTAAGCAGCTGAAGCCTTCCCTGAGGAGAGCTCTGGGTCTGCCAGATGTGTCAGAACTGTTGGAAGCATCTTTGGTGGGGAGGGCAAAGAAAGGCCAAGGGGTGCAGTGACCCCCCTGAGAAGGGACTTTGAGTTAATGGCATCCCTGCAAGTGAACTTTGTGGGCTGTTCCCCCTGTAGGGCAGGTGACAGTCCCAGCTACAGTGATGGGAAAAATAGTTAAAAGAGAGCCCCAAAAGCTGGAAATCCTCCTGGAGGCTCTTAGCAAACAGAGTTTGCTGCGTTCCCCCTGCAAGAAGGACAGTGACAGCTTTTGAGTGCTGGTAGATCCTTTGAATAGATAGCCTTGAGCGTGTCCTTGTTGCACCAGTAGGCCTTGTCCAACTCCCCATATTCCAGGAGATATACATATTAAAGTTAAAAATGATCCTTTTCCTAATCCTTTGTTGTCTTGAGGCTCTCCCCTCAGGAACTGCAGGAACTCCTGGTGCCGCCTGGGCCGATGGATTGGACGCCCCAGCCCCTCCGTTCCTGCCCAGCCCCTGGGTCCGTGTCCAGTGGTGGCACTGCCAGCCCTGCAGGTGAAGTGGGAAGGGCCTTTGCAGGTCTTGTGGGTCACATCTATAGCAGCTGAAGTTGCACAAAAAGGACCTGGGGTCTGTTATTCTTGAGTTCAGAAAGCTCCTTTTGATTGGTGAGCAGAACAAAGTGGATCCTTCAGAGTTCCCATCCGTGTTTGTGTCTCAGCCTGTGTTAGGATTCAGGGCTGTAGCTGTTGTTGTCACTGAGGAGTCAAACTCTGCTTTAAATAATGAGACACTGGCCTAATGGCCAAGTGTCAGGAAAAAAGTGGGAATGATACCTGAGTGTTGAGATGTAACAAGAGGTAATCCTTTTTGCAGTGGGATGTAGCCTGGAAACTGCACAGAGCTGAGCCAAGGGATTTAAAGGGACCAACCAAGGGAGGTGAAGAAAGAAGGAAGAAGGGAAGTGAGGCAGCAGCCAAGCAGCACCAAGCTGCTGTGTAAGCAGGTGAGTTGTGTTGAGGTTCCTCAGGCAGGCCCTGAGGACTTTGAGGGCTCCAGACAGAGCAGACCTGGGAAGGCCCTCGGTGAAGCTCCTCGGAAACCTTCTAAGGGTAGGTGTGTATGGTGATAAGTGTTGGAAAATGCCCTGAATGTGGAACAGGAATGCAGGGAAGGAAAATGAAGCCTCCTGTAATGGTGACCCCTCCCATCAGCTGCAGTGGAGACCCCTCCGTGTGCCCTTTGGGGGCTGATTGCCAGGACCCCCGTGGGGCTGGGATCATGGCAGGGTGTTGTAAGCAAGGAATGCCTGGCTTGGAAAACTCACCAGCTGAGCCTTAGAGGCTTCTCTGAAGAGCTGTTTTCAGGCAGCAGAATTGCCCCCCAGGAGGGACTCTGTGCCTGCTCTCCCGTGGCTCCAAGGGATCTCTGGCCCTTCACGCCGGCACCGAGATTTTCTCGGGAAGGGCCTCAGATCCCCGGACCAGTCTGGGACACAGGCAAGATCCCCCTGCCGTTAGAAATGAGGCCTTCTTGTGGCTTCCTCCCCGTACACGTTGGTGGGTTCCAAAGAAGGACTCTTGAAATGCCTTTTGGGCTGTCCATTGAACCCTTGGGACCAACTTGGCCCCCTGTAGGGACAGTGCTGTGGGTGCCCCCCGGGTTGGGGCACCCCGAGGACTCCAGCGCGCACCGAAAGGATTATTCGGGGAGATCCTCGGGGTGCCCGGCCCTGGGGAGCTCAAAGCAAGGTCCCTGCCATGGATTCAGGCATTGCTGAGAGTATCCCAGGGGTCCCTGTCCCTGCTAGACATGGAGCTCTCTAATGGGCTGGAATTGGGTGATAAAAGTGGTGCTCCAAGTGCCAAAGAAGTGTGGGATTGGGATTAAGAAATGAGCAGTGAGGGTCCAATTGGCTGTTTTCTCTGGAATGTGACTGTAAGAGCTGCAGGAGTGCCAGGTGTGTGTTCCAGTCCCCAGCATTTGGTTTGCACCTTTCCAGGTCAGGCACAGGTCCAACTTCCTCAGTCCTTAACACAATAGTGTCTGGGGACACTGAACTTATCAGGAGCAGAGTGTCAGTCTTGCCGTGCTGAGCAGCCCCGGGGCCACCAGTGCCTGTGCTCCACAGCAGGGCTGGCCCCAAAGCTTGGCACCCTCGACTCTGAGGAGAGGCTCAGCAGTTTGCAGAAGACTGGTGGTTTGATTAGTGCCCTATTATTGCTTGTGAAAACAGCATTTTCAAATGACTTCTAGTGAAAGGTTTATCTTCCTTCAGGCTGTCAATTAAAAAAGAAATGAAATTCACCCTCCAGCCGAAGTTATTTTGTGTATGAAAAGTTTTACAAATGCTCTTTATTTATTTTGTGTGTCGCTCTTTTCCACTTAATGTATCCTTCTTTATCTCAGCACTCTTTTCACAGTGCAGTTTTCTTTGTCAGTGCAAAGATGAAGTGCCAGGACCATAGTGGAGTTCCAAGGACAGGTGCAACTGCACCATGAAGGGCGTGTTTCACTACTACTGGATAAGCTTGCCTGACCTGTATTTTTTCCCTTCAGTAATGGGAAAGTTTAGCTAGGAACTCTGTAGAAAATATCAAATAAAATACATAAAAATATAAAATAAAATTACTTTTTAAAAGAAAATTCTCTTTTTTTTGGTGTGGTATTCAGATCTTTCAGAGAATGTTAAAGTTTTCCCTGCATTCAGCACTCTTTAACTGTGTCCTGTGTCCAGTGTTCATTCCCAAGACCCCTTTGCAAAGGTTGTCCCTACAGACTGAGGTGCACAGAGACCGGGATGTGGGTGCTGTGGATTCGGTTCGAGGTGGGTCTGTGAGTACATATTCTGCTCCCCGTACAGCCACGTCCTAAAGCTTCATGGGCTGATCTCCCTGCAGCAGTGTCAGAGGGTAGGGCTGAGACATCTGGCACTGACTGGAGTGCAGTAAATGAGAGGGAGTGTGGCTGAGTAGAGCCTGAGCGGAGGCAAGGCACCATCCTCATGCAGGTGAGGTTGATGGGAAGTGAGGGGATTTATGCAGGGTCCTTCCAAAAATGCCTGAAGACTAACATTTCTCATTTTTCTATATATTGAAAAAAATACTACTTCATGTATAAATTGATTTCAAAATAGAACCTTGTAACAGCTGCATTATATATAGGATCTTATAGTATAAGAAATTCTGAATATAGGTATATTTTGTATTTTCCAACCCTATATAAGTTTTATATGTAAAAAACCAAGAAAGGGCGTGAAAGTATGAGAAAATATGCTGAATATGACGGCAATAGAAACGGTGTATTCGGAGAGTTTTTTGTGTCTCCTCTCAGTGTAACAGAGCAAGTCTGAGATCTTGGCTGGTATTTAAACCACTGCTGCCACCTGCTGATGAACACGGAGTACTGCAGTCGGCCCCGAAAAGGAGGCGCCTGGCTCCGCCCCCTCGAGCTCTGGCTCCGCCCCCTCGAGCTCGTCTCCCTCCCCCTCGCCTGTGGCTCCACGTGCCCTCCCCTCCCATGCGGGGCAGCCCCGGGTGTGGCCAGTGAGGATGAGGAGGGGGAGGCCCCGCTGGGGGATCATCTGGGAGCACTTCATGTAGAGAGCTTTTGCAGGGGAGCAGCCGATTCCAGGGAGTCTCTCAAGCAGTGATGGTGAGAGCATCTTGCAGCAGCTGCAGGAAACCCCTAGGTGTGCCTGGAGATGGATCATGGCTCAAGGAAGGTGCCAAGAGATGAACCCTGTGCCAAGAGGCAGTGCAGGAGAGGGGAGTAGTGCATGTGACCAGGTGGGGGAGTGTGGGGGTGCAGGGAAGATGCAGCTCGGACGGGAGGAAGAGCTCAGAGGTTTCTTTTACTGATATGAATATGCAAAACAGGGAGTGAGGTGGAATATAAACATTGGAGGTGCTTGGGCAGGGGAGCCAGGACTCAGGGGAGGGGGTCACTTTGTTGAGAACCCAGAGTTCCAGTAGGCTCTCTCAGGAGCAGTCAAAAGGAGTTTCTACTTTGGGGCTGGTCTCCAAAGGAAGGCACCTGAAACTGCTGCTTCTGATAAATCCGTAAGTATGAGAGGCTGCAGAAAGCTCACTGCTGTACCAAGCCAGTAATTTCCACAGATATTTTCGCTATTAAAAACAGTGAGTTTTATTTCCTCTGTGCTCAAAACCTGATGGTATTTGTTAAACTCACTTGCTAAGTTGTGCATTGCTTGATGAACCCTTGCCTCTTTCCCTTTTCCTAGAGAGATTGGTCCTGCCTTGGGAGCAAGAGAATGCCCTGCTGTCTGGGGCTTTTGCTGTTTTTTTTCCCCAGCTTATCTTTCACTGAGTCACTTGGACTGGGACAAGCCCCCTTTGAGCCTTAGCTAGTGCCTTGTGTGGTTATTGTCAGCGGGGGAGAAGGGGAAGGGCACAACTTGCCATAGTATTGGTCCATGTCCTCCTCTGTGCAAAAGCACATGTTTAGGAAGTGTGATGTAGCCTTGAACTGCTCTGCCCAACATGTAGACTCAGAAATCAGTGGCACAGGTTCCTTACCGTGCATCATTAGCATGCTGCAGTGCTGAGCTGATTGAGGCAAGGGTTCTGCAGTGTTCCCAGGAAGAGTAGTCAGGAATGGTCAGTCAGGAGAGCAGGGGTTTGCGGGGCAGATACAAGTTGCATCCCTGCGCTTTGAAGATTGTCTCGTGTTCATTTGTTTCTGTGAATGATTATTAATGAGAAGTAATGTAATTTAACCATTAACTCTGCAACTTAGGGGCTATAATTTTTTCTCTTGACTTTCCATAAAGAATTGTAAACACCTTTAGCCAAAAATTTCTTGCAAAAACAAACAAAGAAACAAAACCACCCAGTGAACAATTGCAGGCATCAGTGAAGAAAAGAGGAAAAAAACCCCAAAACTAAAAAGCTGGAACTGACAGCTGAGACTTCTAAAGTCATAGAGATCAAACAGGAAGCATCGAGACTCTCCCAAAATTGAATACGGACAAAGATACCTCCCAGACAAAAGGTACCACACCAGAAAGCTCTTGCTGCTTAAGGAGTGCCTGGGCTGGACTACCAACTGCACCTGAAAGGCAAAAGTTCCAGGCTTCCTTTCCTGGGGATAATGGGCTGTTGTTCACTATTTTCAGCCCTGAGCTCAAAACACAGAAAGCTCTTGCTGCTTAAGGAGTGCCTGGGCTGGCCCACCAACTGCTCCTGAAACTACAACGGTCAGTGTGCCCTTTGCTGTGGAAAAGGGTGTGGATCATTTTCAGGAATGCTACCCTGAAACTGCCAGTCCGACTCCCAAAAATCCATATGGACCAAGATTCCTCCCAGACAAAAGGTGCCAGGGCAGAGAGCTCTTGCTGCCCATGGAGTGCCAAGGCTGGCCCTCCAACTACACAGGAGACCCTGAGGGTAAGCACTTTATTTCTTGGGAGAAAGGGCTGTTGTTCGCTTGCAGGAATCTTGTCCTGAAATTGCCAGTCCCAGTCCCAAAATTCCATACAGACAAAGATACCACCCAGACAAAAGGTGCCACCACAGAAAGCTTTTGCTGCTTAAAGAGTGCCCAGGCTGGCCCACCAAATGCACCTGAGACCCGAAGAGTAAGCACTTTGTTTACTAGGAGAAAGGGCTGTTGTTCACTTGCAGGAATCGTGCCCTGAAATTACCAGTCCCAGTCCCAAAATTCCATACGGACAAAGATTCCTCCCAGACAAACGGTGCTACCACACAAAGCTCCTGCTGCCCACCGAGTGTCCAGGCTGGCCCACCAACTGCACCTGAAACCAAGAAGGTAAGGGCTTTCCTTCCAGGGGAAAAGAGTTGATGCAGGAATCCTAGAGTTGAAATGGGCAGTCCAGCTCCCAAAATTGAATACGGATGAGGATTCCTCCCAGACAAAAGGTACCACACCAGAAAGCTCTTGCTGCTTAAGGAGTGCCCAGGCTGGCCCACCACCTGCACCTGCAATTAAAAGGGCTGGTGCTTTCTTTGCTGTGGAAAAGGAGTGTTGTTCATTTTTAGGAATCCTGCGCTGAAACTGCCAGTCCGACTCCCAAAATTGCATCCGGATGAAGATTCCTGCAAGACAAAAGGTGCCAGGACAGAGAGATGTTGCTGCCCACGGAGTGCCTAGGCTAGCCCACTAACTGCACCTGAGACCCTGAGGGTAAGCACTTTCTTGCATGGGAGAAAGGGCTGTTGTTTGCTTGCAGGAGTCCTGCACTGAAATTGCCAGTCCAAGTCCCAGAATTGAATACAGACGAGGATTCCTCCCAGACAAAAGGTGTCACCACAGAGAGCTCTTGCTGCCCATGCAGTGCCCAGGCTGGCCCACCAACTGCACCTGAAAACCAAAGGTTCCAGGCTTTCTTTTCTGGGGGTAAGGGCTGTTGTTGTCTTTTTTCAGCCCTGTCCTGAAACTGCCAGTCCAAGTCTCAAAATTCCATACGGACGAAGATTCCTCCCAGACCAAAGGTGCTTCCACAGAAAGCTCCTGCTGCCCACCGAGTGTCCAGGCTGGTGCACCAACTGTACCTGAAACCAAGAAGGTAAGGGCTTTCCTTCCAGGGGAAAAGAGTTGATGCAGGAATCCTAGAGTTGAAATGGGCAGTCCAGCTCCCAAAATTGAATACGGATGAGGATTCCTCCCAGACAAAAGGTACCACACCAGAAAGCTCTTGCTGCTTAAGGAGTGCCCAGGCTGGCCCACCACCTGCACCTGAAATTAAAAGGGTCAGTGCTTGCTTTGCTGTGGAAAAGGGCTGTTGTTCATTTTTAGGAATCCTGCGCTGAAACTGCTAGTCCGACTCCCAATATTCCATACAGACCAAGATTCCTGCAAGACAAAAGGTTCCAGGACAGAGAGCTGTTGCTGCCCACGGAGTGCCCAGACTGGCCCACCAAATGCACCTAACGGCCAAAGGTTCCAGGCTTTCTTTCCTGGGAATAAGGGCTGTTGATCGTGTTTTTTAATCCTGTGCTGAAACTGTCAGTCTTACTCCCAAAATTGCATAAGGAGGAAGATTCCTCCCAGACAAAATGTGCAAGGACAGAAACCTCTTGCTGCCTGTGGAATGTCCAGGCTGGCCCACCAACTGCACCTGAAAGCCAAAGGTTCCAGGCTTTCTTTTCTGGGGGTAAGGGCTGTTGTTGTCTTTTTTCAGCCCTGTGCTGAAACTGCCAGTCCGACTCCCAAAACTGAATGCAGATGAAGAGTCCTTCCAGAAAAAAGGTACCTCCACAGAAAGCTCTTGCTGCCCATGGAGTGCCCAGGCTGGCCCACCAACTGCAACTAACAGCCAAAGATTGCAGGCTTTCTTACCTGGGGGAAAATGCTGTTGTTTGTTTTTCAGAGCTTTGCACCGAAATTGCCAGTCCCAGTCCCAAAACTGAATACAGATGAAGATTCCTCCCAGACAAAAGGTTCCAGGACAGAGAGCTCTTGTTGCCCATGGAGTTTCATAGCAGCTACACCTGAGGCCCCGAGGGTAAGGGCTTTCTTTCCTGGGGAAACAGGCTCTTGTTCACTTACAGGTGTCCTGAACCGAGAAAGATGGTTTGACTTCCCAAAATGAACTCAGACAAGGATTCCTCCCAAACAAATGGTGACAGGACAGAAAGATCTTCCTGCACAGGGAGTGCCACACC